TAATATACAAATGTTTACAGGGAACTACGTGGAGCGCATCTGATAGCGCCAGCCGTCGCTGCTGCGTCGGTTGCGCCGCGCGACATTCTGCGCGCGTCGCTCGCACTGACTCCGCACACGCACACGCCGCATACGCACAAGGACACACAGACATACAAACATTTCTTACCTACATGTAAATTAAAACGTGCCAAAGGTTAACATTTTCAGTTCCCGCAAGGAGCAAAAGATTCTTTTAACTTTTCTATATGTCGAAATATCACACGCACATTACTATCGTTTATAATATGTACGTCGAACGTGTATTTATAATTATTATCTGAGGCTTAAAAGTGATTTGCGTGTGATATACGTCCGTGTACAATTAAAATGTAACTATATACTATTTAATAATTTATATCTCCAAGTGCGTATGAGTGGTGATAATGGACAATTTAATTTAACATATACGATATTAACCTACATTGAAGCTTTTTATAATTTAGCACTTTAGACCACGTATAAAACCGTGATCGTTTTCGACGTCAAGTATACATGAATATATTACGTCAGTATGTGGTTTAATGTTTATTACCTTATTGGATTATGTAACAGTATATCGCATCAATGTTAGAGTAGTTAAAATAGATCTTTGTAATTTTATGTAACGATTTATATTTAACTTCGTATAAATATAATAAAAATGATGTTACCAAAACATAACCATGACTTTTATAACGTTTTATAAAATAAATAATGTAAGATCTTACTGTCATGTACAAATAGTTTCCCGATATTTTATCCATTTTGCTCTAAAATATTAATCATAAGTCATATTAGGATTTTCCTTTCAGTATGTTCTAAAGTCTTCATTGTCCTTCGTCAACCTTGAAAACCAATATTGCTAATCAAAGCTATCCAAAGTTATTTTAAACGTCCCAAAGAATATGTTATTGGATAATTACGGTGTTGTATAATTGTAAAAAAAAAATAATAAAAATACTTATATACCTGTAAAGTTGTTTGGTAGATATAGTTATTTATTTTAAATGATTGGAGGCGAGGATGAGAGCTCCTCTTTTAAAATAACTTTTAAAAGAGTGAAGCCGGGCGTGTGGTATACTCATAAATGTTACTAACGAGTTTTCTACCTATCACTTATTCTATTCTAACTCTACGCGGTCAATAAAGTAACACTTAAACACTAAATACATTATTTGTATTGTCTTTATCAAAATAAATGTGATAAACTCTTGAAAGATTTGTATTTAAAATACAGTCTATAAACGTAGAGTTAGTAAAGAATTAGTGCCACTTATCGATACAAAAATCAAACTTTGAATCTAACCATTAAAGAGTGAATACAAAGTTCTGATGTTTTGTGAATTGGCTTCGAAACGGCTTTATTAATAAAAGCTAACGTATTCGTAGAGCGCATAAGTATCAAGATCGCATCGGTATCAGATTCTGTTACCACGATATGCATGTAATACTCACAGATATGACTAGATACGTCATAACCATATCGATGTGTAGTTTCCTAGTAGCTGTAATCTGATATGTAATATTTTAAGTTACTTAAAACTATACGCACAAAAATTGTTATTAATATTAAATGATTATGACGTATCTATGAGATTCATATCTCTATGTAAAGTTCGAAGAAACATTAGGGCGAGTGTAATTGGCAACGTTGACAATACAATTTGTATGCTTAATTGAGATAAGTGATATTATATATTCGACGTATGGTTAGGAATGCTATATTAATATATCCCATATGTTGTCAGTATCGACGACTTTAGCAGTATCTAGTCATTGGTTTTTGTACCCATGTATCGGCCATTTTGTATCTCCTGTCCTACTTTACCTTGTTCGTTGTTTAAATCCTGTACTGTAATGATAGAGTCCCCATAGGTTTTGTAATGAATGTTTGTGGTAATTGTAAGATAATCTCTAAACCAAAGCAGACTATCTCTCGCCCTCTTGTGAAAGCTTGTTTTAGTACGCACGCTATTGATGTTTCCTTTTTTATTTTTTAACATTTTGTTGTATTTAATTTTGTTAATTTATTTTTAGATGCACATATGTTTTTATTTTTGTTGTTGACACCGCGACATGAGATGTAACATTAACCGGCTATTGTTTTTTATATCATCACACTTAATAAACATAATCTTTTATAAAATGTGTTTTATTTTACGAGCATTCAAAACGATTTTTATACTTTATATGTCCTAGATTATCTACCAAGGGCTTACTTGAGAAAAGCTTGTTCATTTTTCCAAACCAAAACTATAAAACTATCTCTCAATGTAGTACTTTTTTACGCCACAAGAGTAAATAACAAAATTGAAACATTGAATATAGTGGTATAGTGGATATTGTGGTACCATTTTGAGATTGAGAAGGGGGCACCTCTGAGCATTTAGGGGTTACCTGCTTGGTAATATTTCCATATTGAAGGGAAATTATTTCCTTTGAAATCAAAAACGCAAATTTTAAAAGGAAGTACTTTTTGAGAAGAAATTTGAAATGAATAGGTAATAAAACAACATCAGTATAAAAATATTTTAAATTCGATTTCATTTTCAAAATTTCATGAAATTCTTACACATGTTTTATATGTTTCCCCTTGGGTGTTACGGAATTTCTTGAATTAACAAATGGTAACACATTCCAGTTACAACGGACACACGATGATTTACATTTTCAAATGTAATTACTGGACCGCAGCAGGCTTCTTCTCCACTATAAAATAATGTCCCACGTTCAAAATAACCTCTCTTACACTACTTTGAACTTTTCATCATGTTTTATTTAATTGAATAACATTAAAATAGTACACAGAAGTTCAAGTAGAACTGACAAATTATGTTAAAATATGTCACTATTACCCTGACATTAAATTGACAATGTTAGTTTACAAAATTTCCGGATGCCAAAAGACCCATGTGGATCTATAAACATAACTATTAAATAGTAACTTTTACATTTTGTTATAAATCAAATGCATAATTTGAATTAAAAACAAAGTTATTATTTCTAATGTTTAATTTAAAATTCCAATTTTATATACTGACAACACTGTTATTTTTCTGTTGCTTAGCAACGCCATAAATACAAACACAAACATTTCGAAGTTATTGCGTTATAGAAATCAATACAGTCATCGAAAAGGCGATAAGTAAAACCATGGTGGAGACTGATTGGAGGCAGATATTAAGTTTCTCTCAGAAGGAACTGCTTCAGGCAGACAAGGAGGAACTATGCGAAAGCCTGTCATGGATGGAAGTCGACGATATTGAGTTAAACTTTTCCGACTTAAAAACTCTCTTCAGATTGGCCCAGGATATTCTTAAATATAAAAGTGAACAGGTAAAACCCTAAACCAATATTAAAGAGGTTTCAAATATTTATTATTCATCATCATCATCATCACCAGCTCATCGAGGGGCTCGAAACCTACCCTAATAAAGGATGATTAGGCCATAGTCAACCACGTTAGCTTAGTGCGGGTTGGTTGACTTCACACATAACTTTGAATTTCTTCGCCGATATGTGCACCTTGCATCACGATGTTTTCCTTCACCGTTAGAACGTCGGGTCAATTATGTACATACGAAAATTCGAAAAATCGAAAATCACATTGGTACATGGCGGGATTCGAACCCAAGACCTGTAGATAACAAGTCAAGTGCTTAAACCACTGAGCCAATTTGAATTATTAAGATGTTAATTTCCTATTCAACTTGAAGGAGACATTTAAAACTTACTGCTTTCATTTGAACAGGTTAAAAATGTCCGAGGAGAGCTAACTAGTATTAATAGGAAAAAGAGCAAAAAGAATTTACGTAACGATACAGGTAAATTTTAATTTTGTTATTTTTATAATTTCTTCACAAACAGATTAAGGTCCGCATTATGTCCACTTAATTTTTATTACAAAAAACATATCTTTATAGAGTTAGTATATTTCTCCTAGGTGCAAGTACCGACAATACATTGGAAACCATTTCACACCAAGAAGAAGTGATTAAAGCAAACAAAGATATTCTGGAACAATTGTACGCGGATATAGCTGAACTAGAAAAACGTAAAACTAAATACAAAGACCAATCCATGGATATTGACAAAGATAGTGAATCAAGTCCGGACGTCTTATCTGAAATAGATGCTAAAGCACAACTTCAAAATGAAATCGTGCAGAAAAACAAACATATTAGAAAGCTACTTGGATATGTTAAGGTAAGCTAGAATACAACAGCTACTTAAATTATAAAAGAATTAAACAATGTTAAAAAAAAAAACTTTTTATTTAATTACTACAGGTATTGGAAGAAGAAAATACTAAATTTAAAGAAAAAATTACAATACTTAAGGATAAACTGAAAGAAGCGACAAAAATAATAGAAGATTTGACGGAACAGTTGCTAGCTTCAAGTAATGAGTACAATCGTATAAAAGGTAAGTACAATTAATAAGATATACCCGAGGTAAGGGGGCGCTAGATAAATATTTTATTGACATTTCTACATATTTCAGAAACTATTGGATCTTTGGAACTAACGAAATCGAATTTGTTAGACGAAATAAGTACACTAAGACAAGAAATTCTTTCTAAGGGCATTAAAACAGAAAATGTCCACGAAGATGCTAAAACAAAAATTCAACACTTGAAGGTTGTCGCCATATTTATCACTTTGATGTTAATGATTTTTTTTTTTAAATCGTTGGTAAAAAATCTCTTACTTGATCTTTGTTTTAGAATTTACTTAAAAATCAACGATTAGATATAGAAAAATTCTCAACAGAAAATAAAAAGCTAAAAGAAGAGTTAAACACCAGATCAGCACCTAAACTTGCGGAAGAAAAACAAGTAACTTAATTTTGCTGTTATTTCCTTTCATTTTTATTCGTTTACCTATACTATATGTACTTATATAATTTCGTAAGAACTCAGTCTTATAAAAGTTTTTTTTATATATCAAGGAAAGCCGTAAGGAAGAATTACGAATAAAAGAATTAGGAGATAAACTTGCAGAAGCTTCTAAGGAAATATTACGTTCGGTTAAAATAATAGATGTTTTAAAAACTGAAAATAAGCAACTGAAATCATTACTTGAAGAGACCCAGAATATTGATTTAGATGTTAAAAATGAAAGTGACGATGGAAAAGAACGTAAAATGATAAACGAGTTGAAGAAAAAATTAAAAAAACTAATTGCGAATCTACAAAGTACAGAACAAATGTTACTTATGAGAGAAAAAGAGGTTTGTAATTTTTAACGTAAAAATTTCAGTTGATTTAATTATTTTACCATTTTATAACATGTTTCAAGGTATTAGAATTATCTTCTGAACTCAGCCTCTTGCAATCCGATGATGGGATAAATACTTTGATGAAAGCATTTAAAAGTAAAAAGCAACAACTTGAGGTAAAAGATGAAGGTATTAAGTCTTTGGTAAAAGATATCAATAATCTCACTCAAGTTGTGAACGATTTGCAGGTTGAAAATGAAACGATGAGGTAACTCAAGCATTTCTCAAAATTAATTTGTTTAAGTTTACAGTAATATGTTCATAGTTTATATTGCATATTTTTTTTAATTATAGGAGACGATTTAATTTAAGTAAAGATGAAAAAATCTCAACTGAAGGCATTTTACTTGAATATCACAACTTAAAAGAAGCAAATAAAACATTAAGTAAAGAAAATCAAGCAATCGAGAATGAACTGGTAACGCTAGCAATGAAAATTCGAGAACAGAACGAAATAATATCTAAATATGAAAGATTGATCATAACTAAGGAGCAGAGTATTTCAAACAATAATAGTAACACAAAGAGAAAGAACAATGAAAAATTACAAAGCGTTGAAGGAGAAATATTGTATTTATTATTTGTAATTAAATTTAGTTTTTCTTGTTGAGTGCTTAATATTTGTTATGAAAATATATGTACACTTTATTACAGAGTGGAAGGAAAAAACGGAGATGTAAAAGAAAACGGAAATGAAGATATCAACGTTCAAATCCTTATTGAAGAAAATGAAGGTCTACGTAAAGGACTTCAAGAAATATTCAACTTTTTAAAAGACAATTGTAAGACAGTAAAATTTATAATACCTTAATGTTGGTCCTTAACCGTAAAAAAAAAATTATTTATTCTCCAGGTGAGAGTTCAACAGGAGTTTTAGCTTTCGAATGCCCCAGTTTAGAAGCTGTTTTATGTGCCTTAGAAGCCCGACATGCTGCTGGTTGGTTTGCTCCTCACATCGCAACCACTTTGCAACTAAAAGCTGCCTTAGGTGGCAAAGATGCCCTATTAACAGCTCTGCAACAATCAAGGTAATATTATCGTATACAATATAAGCTACACTGTTAATGGTTCAAAAATAACAAGTAATAAAATACAGTTATGATTTTCCTTTTTCTTCCTTCAAACCCGTCTTTTTGTTTCCAGAAAAGAAGTATTTACTTTAATGACCCAGTTATCAAAAGAATCTCAAAAGTGTGCCGAAATGGAATCTAAAGTGAATGAATTAGAAAGCAAAATGAAGACGAGACCAGAAGTAAAAAGAGATGATTATAATAACAATTTTGGTATTTCAAATGCATACATTTTTGATGCCGAAAATAATGAAATCGATTTGCAAAATAATGCAGCATTAGAAAAAGTAAGCTTAAATCGAAATTCTTTATACGATCAGGAGGTTAAAAATGCTCTCATATATTTCCGAAGCAAATATGAAATGTTATTTGATAAAATGACAGAAATTGCAATAAGCACATCAGACGAAAAAAGCAAATGGTTAATTCAAGAAGAAAATTACAAAGCCCAAATTGAAAACTTAAAAATGTCAAACATTACACACGGAGATGAAGATAACAGTGATATTTCGGCTGGATTAGTTAGTAGCCCTAATATATCGTTTTTAGAAAGAAAATGTATTTATCTAGAAGAAATATATAAGAATATTAGAACATCTTACGAAAATATCAACAATGAGATTCTAGAAAATAAAAAGGAGAAATTAAAATCTACTTTAAAATTTGAAACGCAAATACAAAACTTAATGATAATAATCGTAAATCTTACCGAAAAAATACGGTGCTCTATGCCAGAGGATTTATTTTGGAAACAAAATAAGATGCTTAATGAAATCATAACAAAATATCGACGACAACTAAACTCGGATTTAATGAATAACGAATCAAATAAAAGCAAGAACTCGAAGAACGATCAAATAAATGCCAAAGAGACAGCTACGAAGATATCTCAAAATTCAAACAGTAAGTGCATGAATATCTAAATAGCATCAATTCTTTTTAATAATATATATCCACAAGGATAGAAAGATGAAATATATGAGAATACGATGTTATGTGTCAATGTTCAACAGAAATAAATACTTTTCCTAATATAGCAAAATGCTACTTTCCCACAGATATTAAAAACCAAGGCAAAAATAATGATTCTAAAGCAGAAATGACAGCTCCTCAAAACCTTGATCAAGATGGTGGTCCGGAGTTAGAAACAAAAAACAAACTAATAGAATTACTCTCTAACAAGAATACAGAATTACAAGAGTTACAAGCTAATATTATGTAAGTTTCATTTCCTACTCAATTACTATTTTACAATTACAACATTTTCATTATACATGAATTATTTTTAGTGATAATACTTTAGCATCAGAAACAAAGGAGGAAATAAGTTGTTTAAAAAAAACCTTACACCAATTAAATGAAGAAAACAAACAGCTGAAAGACAAATTTCTTGAAATCCAAACGCAGTACGATGTCGTCATGTCTCAGGTCAGTTACTACTCAGTACGCAAAGTAACATCCAATAACAAAAAAATTTAATCCAATAACACATTCTACATTTTTTTTAGTATAGTACTCGTTTTAGCTAGTTTATCATGGAAATTAAAAATAAGCAATTGATTGTTTTATTTATTATAGTTACAACATAATGGATACAGTCGATTAAACTACGAAACAGAAATAAACTTGTTAAGACATCAAATACTAGATCTACAGTCGGTCGGAGATAACAAAGCGGTTATTGCACGGTATAAGATTTTTTCAATATCGTTCATAAAATAATTACTGTTATTTTTGTTACTTTGGCTTCGATTAATTTGATATTCCTCGAAAATATCAATTAGCCTTAATCCAAACGCCTTTATTATTTTATTTTACTGGTATAAATGTTTTTAATTTACACTACTCAATAAAATTAAGGTTTTAAAGTTTTTATGATGCATTTTTGCTTCAAGGTTAAGTAATGAATTATTGGTAGCCCATCTACAAGCTAGTGAAAGACATCAAAAAGCGGAAAGTCTCAAACAGTATCTAAATAGAGAAAAAGAAATGCGAGAAAATGCAGATGAAGCATTATTAGCTCAACAAAAGATATTAGAAATGCTAACAATTAAGCATGAAAATAAATTCAGGTATTGAATATATTCGTTAAATGGATAAAATAGTAAAAATCTATTAATCAACAAAATCTATTTCATACAACAAACTGTTTTTAGATATATGCATGAAGTTCTACAAACTCTAAGACTGGAATATCAAGGAGCTTTACCTTTAACTTCTGCTGAAAATTATCTTAACGGTTTAAAAGATCTCTCGGATAAAACTAACGTTATTGATGAAAAAATTACTGAAATCGAAGACATACGATTCAGTTTAATGACTAAACATACGGTTTATGATCAAATATTAAATTTAACAAGCGGAAATTGTTCTGAAGATATCAAGAATTGCCCACATAAATTACAATTAACAGTATCGGTAATTGTGAATTCATTTCGTAAAATTATTAATATTGTCTCTTATTCTTTATAATCTAAACTTTATGAATTTTCAGCTCAACACTCAAGCGAGAGAATTAGAACATTGCAAAAATAAAATTCAGGCTTTGGAAAAAGCAAACAAAACCTTATTAGAACGATGCAATGCTCTTGATAAAACTCTCGTTACCGTAAGCCACGGATTGACGGATACTTACAGTGAAGTAAATATCCCGAAAGAGAAAAATATCAATATTATTAAGGACATTGACATTGAATCTGAAGACTCGCAGTCTGATTCGGATATTGGATCGAGTACCAAAGGTTACTATATGCAAAACTAGTATTAATCTATTTATGTTTTCAGACAATACCATTTACAATAACATGCATTTTATATTTTCTAGAAAGTGGAACGTTTACCCTTCCAAAACCACGAACAACCCAATTGACACATCAAATAAATTTCAATTCCAATGAAAAGAAATCTGTAGCCACTTTAACAAATTTTCCTGAGATAAAATTTATAAATTCAGAACGTACAAATGTGGCTATACAAACGAACCTTGCAAATATACAAAGAATTAATAAACTAATTCAAACAGAAAACGATAGTATGCCAAGTGAATTAAAACAACATATACATAAACTTGAAATGGCAAATAACGAAACAAGAAAGAAACTATCCGATTGTTTATCAAAATCAGAGAAACGTGAAAAAACAATTGTATCAGTTAACGAAGAAAATAAAGCCTTAAATATTAAAATACAAAATCTTGAAGAGACAAATACAAAACTAACTTCACTTAATGAGCAACTTCAAAAATCTGCTGAATTGTTAAGAAGAGAAATTGAAGATTATAAAAAATCACATGTAGAACAGTGCAACAAAATTAGAAAAGCGGCAAAGGAAGAAACGCAATCGCTTTTAGAAAGTGTTCAGAGTATAGAAAAGGAAAAGAATAACATTATGTCCGAATATAAACAACTATTAGATAGGGAAAGAAATGACAACTATGAAAATGTTAAAACATTAAAATCAAAAATTGTAGCTTTGCAGACTGAAATAGACAGGTATTGTTTAAATGGTATAGAAATATTCTTACAAAAACTGTTATAAAATTCCTTCGTGATTCATAATTTTAAAATTCTCAGTAATTGCCATCAATCATGTTACATGACACTTTTTAGATAAAGATGATCTTGCTGTGATGTAAATTATAAAACTATTATTTATTACAGAAAAGCGAGTACTGTGGGTGGATGCATTGATGATGTTGCTAAACAAAATATTGCAAAATACACATTAAAAAATGCAGATCTAGAAAACAAGTGTTTTAAATTAGAAAATAGTCTAGAAGATTGTAAAAGAGAAGTGTGAGTTATTTCTATCGGTATCTTTATTGTTGGGGATTATTAATGTTTGTGTTAAACTTTGTGGTAACTTACAAATATTTATTTGTATATTAGTGTTAGTTATCAAAGTGAGCTCCAGCGTTGGAAGAATTTAGCAGCAGAAAGACTTGAAAAAATGGAACAAATGGGTCTACAGTTAAAGGAACGACATAATCATGAGGTGAGTGTTATATTAACAATACAAAGGAATGTGTTCCTAAGCAGCAATCACAGTATTATAAACTTTGCTAGACGAGCAAACGGGACATGACCAAATCCTCTTGTTAATGCTAAGTGTACTCTAAGACAAAAATATTCTTATTGTTTTCCACTGTCATGTTTATGCTACAGGTTGAATCATACAAAGCCGAAAACCAGCATTGGTTGATGCAATTAAATGAAACTCAGCGCGAGCACATAGAATTGCGCACACAACTTTCGGAACAGAAAGCGTTACACGTTAAACAATTAGCGGAAAAAGATTCTCAAATTGAACAACTTCGATCAGTCGTACATAACTTGAAGGTTAGTGGAATTAGTGTATTTCCTATAATATCGTATGTTCGAAACAAAGTATTTTAATGACATTAATGACAAATTACCGTAAATTTTGATCCTTGGATTTGAGGATTATAATATGATTTCAGACTCAAATAATGAATATGCAAACAATGATATCCGTACAAGATCCAAGCTTCGATCTTTCGGCTATCGTAGAGGTTGAAGAAGCGAGCGACATTTCACAACAAGGCTCTGACAGACTGGAAATAAAGTTCGATTCCACCATCGATTTTCACGACATGCAAGATGATTTTACTAAAATGTCGACGTCCACCATGATTTGGTAAAATTAGTCTTCTCTATAAAAGTAGTTTTTGCGAGTAAACGCATTGATTTAGTAAAATAATAGTCGATTGAAAATTAGTGCTCCATAAACTAAGCTGATTGGTCTTCTAACATATGATTAGTCATATTGACAGTGTCTATTCTACTAAAGTCTTTTCGTTAATATGTTCCAGGCAAGAGCCAGTTATAGAGCGTTTGAGAAGAGAGAAACAACTGCTCGCTAAACAAAACGGTGTATTGCGTCGGCAGATCAAAGCTATCGCAGCAAGGGAGAGAAGATCTCGATTAGACGCCCAAAATCTCAAGAACCAAGTATTTAGAATGTAAGCACTAACGTTAGAATGCGATATTGCGGAATGACAGTCATTTCCTCACATTCCAAAAAACTCAAAATCCACCTAATTGTAACCTGTGCTGTTTCCATTTTATGATCCAGCTATATCCCAGTATTTAGTTAGAATAGATGATAACTTGATTTTGTTTTTTAGTTTTTGTAACTTGTATTGCAGAAGCACATCGGGAAGCAAAGCGGTGTGCGCGGAGTCAACGGCGCTGCACAACAAGATAGCAACGCTCCAGGCGCAGCTAACTAGCGCGCGACGAGACAACAACTCCTCTGTCGCACTCTGGGACAAATGGAAGAGGTTGCCACAGCCGTAGCCATTTTAAAAGAATCTATGTTTTAATAGAAACGTTATACGTTTATATCTATACTGCATTGAATATTTGTTTTAACACCCTGTTTTTAGACATAGACGAACGTACAAAAATAATTAACAAGCCTACGATTACGAAAAAATAAAAAAATATCACGCTTAGTCCGTTATGTGTCGAGTAGAAACAAAAGGAACAATATGCGGAAATGCAATATATTCAAAGGAGGTGTATACTATATAAAATTTATTTTACTTAAGAGCTCAACAAGCGTCGGAACGATGGCAAGCACGATACGAAGAGAAATGTCAAGAAGTTAATAAAATAGAAGCCGGATTGAACATGGCGCGGTCTGCTGTTGCAAGACTGGAGAAGGAAAAACGCTTGCTCTTGTCCAGATTATCTGAACCTAAAAGTATGTATTTGATGTTGATTTCTCACTGCCTTTGACATCTATACTCTATGTTAGTTAAAAAGTAAGGCAGGGGTGTCGCAAGATTTTTTTTAAACTTCAGACTTAATGTTTTCATAGAAAATGGTAAAGTACTATACTTATTTTTCAGATGACAAGCTGTCTGCGAGAGAGAAACAAGATGGAGAAGCTTCTGAGAAGCGTATGTCTCGAAGCGAATATGATCCCAACGAGATGCAGACAGTGCCGGTTTCGACGCGAGCGTTGCTTGAACGGATAGAAGCTCAACAGAGACGCATCGTGGCACTAGAAGTCGCTGAAAAAGTACGCATACAGATCTGCATATTTGTACTAACGCACATATAAATGTAAAACTATAAGACAAAGAAATCGGTTTGGAAACAACAAGACAACTTTAAATTAATATATTGTTCAATTGCTCATATTGCTCAATAATTACCTAACTTAGTTACATGTGTACTTTTTAAATATATGTACATAATTGATGTTTAGACAGCGTTCTTTTAATCAAATAATTATTGTTTAGGGTAACGAGCCGCTAGTTTCCGAATACGAAAAAGCTCTTGCAGAAATAACTTCACTGAAGGGTCAAGTATTGAAACTGGAGTCGACCTTACTTGAAACACAAATACGATCTCCCTACACACAAGAAGTTAAACCAGAACTGGAATATTGGAAGAGGTAAGTAGTATGAAGAAACAAACATTGACATCTTTCTCCTAATCATTTTTTTAAACGTAATAATTCAAATTTCTGTGCCTACGTCAAATTATGCTTACAAAAGTGGCAATTTAAAGTGAAAATTTATTCTATTTATAAGCATCTGTAAATTTTGACTAATCGTAATATTTTGTGTAAGCTATTGCAACATGCTGAAGGAAGAGAACAGTCAGTTGACACTGCGCGTTAGTTCTCTAGAAAGCGCGCCCGCCACCGCGCATCAGCACCGCGTCAACGACCTCGAGCAGACCGTGCTCACGCTTAGAGGTATGACAACTGTCACACTAAGATGTCACGCACACCTTTGACTAAACCATCGCACAATTGTTTAGTCTCTAGAGATACGCACACTACTCGATGTCTTGTTGTGCAACTAAACAGTTGAATTGGCTGCAAAACAATCGACAAACGCATAACAGCTGTGCGATAGTTTAGTCAAAGTTTTAGGCTCGCTCTTAAACACGTGACAAAATGTATCCTGCGATAGCTCTCCTATTAATTATCCTATGCGTACAATAAATAACGGAGTTAACTTCCCGCGTAATTTAACTGGTGGAATTCTTCCAGGTTTGGTGAGCAAACTGCAAGCGGAACAAAAATCGTCACCAACGAACATAAAGCGAGTAGATTCTCGACCAACTAGCGGCCGCAACGGATCCGATAAGGTAACAATCTTATCATCTCACTAATATTATAGATGCGAAGTTTAGATAGATGGGTGTATGTTTGTTAGAGTTTGCAGCCTAAACGGCTCACCTAACTTCAATTAAATTACACACACATGTAGAGCATAGTCTGGCAGAATACAGACTACTACAAACAGAGAAAGTCGCGGGAAAAAGCTAGTATAATATTTAACACAAATGATAATTTTATGTTGATAGCCCTTGTTAATATTTTTATTATAATTTCAGACTCGAAGTCAGCTAGAGTCGTGTAAAACTGAGATAGCAAATTTGAAGAAAAGTATACAAGAGAAAGATTCTCTACTTGAACGCTCTAAAGACATGCTGAGGATCGCCGCTGAAAGAGAAGATGAGTTACTAAACGAGGTCTGATTTTATTTATTTATTTGTTTTTTACTATTTTTTGCGCGCTACGATGATTTACATATTACTATTTTGTATTGTTATAACCTTTTCATAGACGTAACGTAACGATGCATCAACTAAAACTAAATGTTTTATTTTATTTTTTATTTTCAGAATGCATTTCTACGTCGACAATTAGAAGAGTTGACGGATTATAAAAGAGATTCGGTATCGGACTAATGAATCTTGATTTACGACATAAGCGTGTTCTTTATTACTTTTATTATATTGTAGATTAAGCAAATCCTTTTGTCCTTGTATAACGTGTTCATACTTTGTGAAACTCTGATATTTCATCGTTAATAAATAACGTTTAAAACTTATCTTTGTATGTTTTTTGTCCAATAGTCACCAAAAACGTTGTTAGTAGACTTTCAGATCTTGAGGTATATCCCGTTGGCTTGGTAGTTACTCTTCGGTAGACTGAAATAAAAAAATAAACTTATAAGTAACTATCGTATCAATAAATATAAAATGATGATTTCAATAGAAATCAAACACATATTTCATTGTAATTTTGTTATTGGCTACCTCAAACCACATATAAATCTAACTGATGTTATAAATGCGAAAGTTTGATTGGATGGATGTTACTTAGATTGGATGTTAGTTAGAATTTGTAGCCTAAAGGGTTAAACAGATCCCGGTATTTAGCATAGATGTAGAGAGTCTGGAAGTCGATTTCACGCTGTTGGAATCGCGAGTGAAAGGCAGTTATTTACAAAGTAAAAAAATTAATTCACTTACTCATAGCATCTTACCTTGTTAGTGTTTTTGTTGTCATATCTGGCGATTAATCTCTTAGCGAGCGGTGGTGTGAATAGCGCGGGGTCTGGATGTGGTTTCCCGGCTCTCTGCCAGGGCTGCTGGTGACGCACCAGTAGTGATATCACCGAGCCAACCAACAACACCCACACCAAGCCAATCTGTATAAACACAAGAAAATTACAACTTTCAACGTATTTTTCTTCCTATTCATTCCCCTCACCCAATCTTACTAATATTATAAATGCGAAAGTTTTAGATGGATGGATGGATGTCTGTTAGAGTTTTCAGCCTAAACGGCTGATTATTCTAACAGACGATAACTCTAATAGCTCGATAAAATTTGACATAGACGTAAATAGTCTTGAAAAGTACATAGGCTACACACTTTTTTTAATTCCATGCGTACGGAGTCGCGAGCGTAAGCTAGTTTTATTACAAAAGAAAGTTTACCAAACGATCGATCGTTTCCATCGTATAAATACTTACCAAACCTGTCCACATATAAGATATTCGATACAGATAGAAGTAGTCGCTCGTAGCAGTTGTCGCAGCTATTAGCATGGTTACGTTATGACTGCAACCTTCAACAGACACCGGCAGCTTGGCTAGCGGAGGTCGAGGCCCTCCGAAAGATATCCATAATGTCAATGATAGACCACTCAGTAGACTTATAGAAGCACCCTGAAAATATCATCATGCAGGAATTCGAAATGATTACGGCAGTACAAAGATCATATAATGTACAATGCACATACTAACCAGTTCATTAGCAAATGTTGTGAACATTCCCAGTGTGAAGACTCCTAGCAGGGGTCCGCCGACAGCGCCGAAGATAGTCATAGCGGACTGCAACACGCCGCCCAAGTACTGCGCGAGGAACGCCAACGTCAAGAACAGCAGGCCGTACCCACACGCTGCCAACTTCGTCAGCCAGAGTGTAGATGATGAACTCACTCGACACCATCTAGAAGTATCAAGTAAAGCGGTAAACTCATATCAACAAAATTGAAATTGTATTGGTTCTCATTAAATACGAGTACAATAAAACGCTCCAATATATCTACTACTTAAGTGAACATTGAACGACTCTAAATACGGAAGTAACTCAGCGAAATCTGTTCTGATTAATATACTAGTATTTTACTCATACCTGCCAACATAATCTGATAGTGTAATAGCAGCAAGGGAATTGCAAGAAGACGATATGGTGGAGAGAGAGGCGCTAAATATTCCTGCCACAAACAGCCCGGCGAGGCCTGGCGCAGCGCCCATCGCGTGCACCACGTAGTAGGGCAGCAACTGGTCGATCTACACAAAACAAGTTAAATTGATTTAAAAAAATAATCTCCTTATTAGTTTATTAAGGACAATGACTAAAAATAAGAGTATACCAATTTCCATTCATAGCAAAGCTTTAGCACTTTAAAATGCAAACGAACATTACGGTGCGTACTAACCGCAGTAATTTTTCCAGTTGTAAATGGATCACAGTCTTTGTAGACGGCGTATATCCCGAGACCGCTGACACAGGTCGCCAGGCTGAGGACACAAAGCACCGGCCAGCTCCACCACAGGCAACGCTTTGATCGTTCTAGAGTACTCACAGTTAGTAGACGTTGCACCTAAAACAAACGACAATAGTTGACTCTAGTTAAACTGAAGGATCAATTTTTAACACTGACATAAGTAGGTTTTTTTTTTTATTTAGAGTTTCTTAATAAAAATTTCTGCCCAAGATTATTTTTTTGTTGTTCATCATTGCTGATGCATAAAGGTCGTAGAGGTTCAGTATCACAGAAGCCGCCTATAATTTGCCTATCGACCGCTGTAGACTAATAAAAAGCACCAAGTCTCTATTAAATTGCAAAAAAATACCTGAGTTTGGTTGACTGCATACAATGACAAGAAATTGATAATGCCACCTATGAGGAGCGACCACCAGGTATGTCTCTCAGTTGGGTCTACACTGAAACTGATGACAAAAATTTATAATTTCAGCAAAAACTTAATTTAGTAAACATTACTATCACGTTTCACTTACTTTGAAAAATCTAAACGGCCTCCTTCATTGGCAATTTTAAATATTTGAAGAAATCCTCCAAGTTCTAATGACGTAAACACAACAACGCTTACGACGGCTGCAAGCATTAGTAATGATTGAAGTAAGTCAGTAAATACAACCGCTTTCATGCCTCCTAAAGTTGAATATAAAGTGCAAGCTAAGCCTACAACTAGAATGGATACGATTCTTGTCAATCCAGTAACAGTTTCCAGAACAATCGATGGTGCATACAACACCACTCCACTGTACAAGATCATCTGCAAAGCGTACGTTAATGACGCAAGTATCCGTATAGTTGGGCCAAACCTCAACTCCAAATACTCATATGCGCTTGTCTTTTGTAATCCAAAAAATACTGGCAAGTAAAACTGGCAAGCTATTGGTGTCCCAAGTCCATATCCTAAATTAACAATCACGAATATCATTCCGTAGTAATAATTCTCAGCGGAAACTCCGAGTAAAGTTACAGCAGACATGAACGATGCCATCAAAGATACCGCAATAGGAAGTATAGACATGTTTCGATTAGCTAATAAGTATTCCTGAAACCAAAGGAAAAATCAATGTTTTTCTGTTTCACGTTTCATTAAACAAAACAAAAGTGTTATCCAAACCTCGTTAGTCTTCTGTTTGCCGCCACTGAACCGAAAATAGAGTCCAATAACAATGGATATCACGACTGATGCTGTCATAATAGCGTAATCCACTGGTTTGAAGACTGACCTCTCCATTTTTACTGAAAAAGACAAGGACTTTAGCAAGAAAGTAAAAAATCTAAAAGATTTCAAACCAGAGCCAACAGCAAGATGATCTTCATTTGAGATACGACAAACAATGCCCTTAAGCCCCAGTAGAGTTCGAAAAATCAGAGATGATTTTCCGTAATACTTTTGAATACAAACATTATGCTTATATACTTAAAAGAATTTAATTAAATCAGTGTTAAAACAAAAAATGTTTTACTTACTTGTAATCGTTGAAACAATTTAATAATTGGTTACATTCGTCACACGAGACAAGTAAAAACATACTACTCAATCGTAAACATTTATCGGCTATCCTTTTATCTTTTATCTAAAACATCATAACTTATCTTAAACAACAGACAAAACATTACATCTAGTAAAATTAATTGCAAAAAATTAGAATACCGTCAGATTATTTTTTATCGTTTTAAGTCAAGTACCTTGCGAGACTAAACACATACTGCATCTCACGTTATGGCGTATAAATGTTATTCATAAATAATTCATGCATATTATAACTACAATATCACAAGAATGCAAAGGTCGTCAATTGTTTTAATCCATTTCTATACAACAAACATATTTTTACCTACGTATTTTTATTGTTGCTGACAATTTTGTCCCAAATATAAATTATACAATTTGCATTTCTTGGAAATATTGCACAGAAGATACTGTTTAATTACGAAATGTTTTAAAATCAATGTGTATTAATACACTCACATTAATCCTGCAGAGTTGGTAATACGGATTTCCCCTTTTCGGTCGTGACACACCATGCTTTTTGTACTTTTTCCATCCTTATTACGACAATTAGTGTAACTCCATATTTAATACACAGTCTACTTCGTCCTCCTTGTTGTTCCAAAATGTTTTGTACAATCCACCAATATTTAGCACCCCCATCTTTATTAATAGTACCTAATTTGTAATATTATTCTGACAAACACCTGACACTTTGTTAGCCTATCAATTTTTATAACATAATTGCTATTTTAATTTTAAAGTAAGTTTTAGTAAAACTAACAGAACATAACATCGAGCTATTAATCATTAAGATTAAATTTTAAAAAAAGAACACCATACCATGATGCAATGTCTGTGTTCTATTACATTTTATTTTCGGACCCTTCAGTTCACGGAAGATGAAAAAAGAAATCAACATTTTCTAACATTCTCGGTAGGACTAAAATTCGTATAAGCATCACAATAAATCACGTTTCTTGTTACAACAAGAAAAGTTTAAGTTATTTTCAATGATGCTTTCTTGTTTCTTTGAACTGTGTTTTGTTGCTATAAAAAGATGATTATTCTGAACTGACATGTTATTAAGATTTTGAGTGTCCTTTTTGTTCTTAAAGAATTTTTAAATAGCTTTTTTAAGGTATTCTTGTTATTTTAAATGCTTGGAACATTTTGCTAGAGGTTATTTTAAAACTATCTTTAAAAAAAAATTGCAAGATATGATCGTATGATTAACCATAAAATAAAACAAGAAATACAGACATTTAATGTATACAATTTTTTAAAAGTTCTATAAATATATGGATATTAAAGTTGATTCTGATAAAAAAATATACTGTTTTTAATACCAAACTGAGGTACAAGTGATCAACTATACCAAGGTTTTTAACAAAAACTATTCCGTCCATCATTCCAAATATAGTGTTACCAGATGTAATCTTTTAACTATTATCTATTTAATTATTACATTTATTAAACTTAAATTAAGAGATTAAAAAATCACAAATATCAGCGAAAATAACTTTACATCTTAATCTTTACATCTTTTGATTTTCTTGCATCAAAGGTACCATTTGTTGTAAATCTGGTTTTAACTATTTTCATTGACAAATTAATGATACATTTGCATATGCTTTAGAATATATTAAATCTAAAGGTCCGAAGGTTTTGTGAAAGTAAAATCAAATTACAATATTGAAAATAAGTATTAATTAGATGTAAATTGTTTTCAATCTGTAAGATTATTACTGAATAACACATTACAATAATGGTAGTTTAAGGAAAATGGGACATTATGAAACTAAAATAGGTATTCAGAGATTTGTGATTGTTCTTAAACTGGAATAAAGCTTATTTATTAACAAGCACTTACATATATTATCGCGATTTAGACCATCGTTTGGTTTTGTATTGTCTTTTATTATTAATTACATATATATTATTTAAAAATATTGAAATAATGTTTGGTCTGTCATCACCATCTCTTCCTGAATTATACTAAAGAGGTTATCTTAGATTTCACAATGATATATACTTTTTCCTACACATTACATACTTCTATTTATGTTAAAAGTACATTCATATGTAAGAGACCTCGTACTTTTTCGAGGAACTTTCGTTGGGATTAAAGTTTGAAAGCTTGTTGCGTGTTCGTAGCCTTGAATAACTTTGAACTTTGGCAGTGAAAATGTTACTTTAAATACTGATACTAAGGGCCTGTCCCACAATTCTTGTTAACTGTCAGATAAAAATCCAACGTATAAAATATGTGATGGAAATATCGGATTTTGGTACTTTATCTGACAATGACATCATGTTTAAGTTATCTGAGCCTCATCAGCCAGTGGTGGGATAGGCCCTAAATCGATTATTTTGTATCTTGAGATATACAGTTGTTACACTTAGATTATTGATAAGTTTGTTAGTTTACAATCGTACCAGACATATTATGAACTGACGGCAAATTAAGTACTGAAATAAAGTACATTAACATATTATTTTTATTGCTAACATATTTTTACTTTCGTGTCCAATAAAACGCACTTAACTTATTGTGTAAATCAACATTATTAAAAAACGATTAAATAAACTAAATATGAAGATCAATTTTCTATGCTTTATTTTAATTTTGTTATTTTATTGTTACAATAAATTTTCACTATCACAGCTATATAAATAACTTTCTACATAACAATTATATATTACTGCAAATTATTTTATACATATAAGTCCATTCAGTATATAAGTACAGCCTTGATGCTTATTGTATTAAGTAACTATCACATTAGAATAAATAATAGGTGATTTTTTGTTTTAATAATAATAATTTAAATAATTCTGTTACGTTCTACACTTTAGTCAATGATTTACAAATATTCATGATAATCTTAAGATATGATGTGGCAGCATTATTGTTCAATTTAATACTCGCTTTAGTATTTGCCTAGTCATAAAGTGTAAGAGCGGGCGCGCACTTTTGGCTAAATATCGCACAACTTTTTTTTTTATTAAAAGGGCGAAACGAGCGGCGTGAACAACAAGGTGGTCAACGACGCCCATGGACATCCGCAACACCAGAGGAACTACAGATGCGTTGCCGGCCTTTGAGAAAATTATAGGCTCGCTTCTTGAAGGACTCTA